TGTTTCTGATAGGCAGTCATTTCCTTGCCCTTAGTATTTGTTTTTCCTGATGGGTTAGTTCATTGTATAGTTTTGTCCACTTCAGTAGTTTTAAGCAATGTGTGACGTTTGTCTTCTTTCAAACTTTCCAGAAAATAACGGCAGTGGTCCCTTTTTAAAATAGAAAGCATATGTGTTTGTTTTGACTCGTTGCACCCCTCAATGTCGTGAAAAATCAAAGAGGTGGGCGGCTTGCCACACTGCTTGGTGACAATCATCCATGAATTCAATGAATATTATTGGTTCTTGCGATGGATTTCAGATATCCGTTAGAGCTGTGTTTTGACATTTGTTATTATTTTACTTTGAGCTTCAATGGGGTATTGCTTCTTGTGCCGTGAAGACGGACCAAATAAAATAAAAAATAAGACACATATATATTATATATACATTAATATTAGTATATTGTATACAATTGTATTTCGCATAATGCCCTGCCGTCAAAAATTGTAGTAGACAGCAAATAAGAAGTAATCATTGTGACTTCAACTACAGCCTCAGCTAAACTTGGTTCGATGTCTGTGTGGACTCTCCAGATCAATCCCGTTGACGAGTGATTGCTAACGGCACCGATCGATAGAAAACTAGCTGAGAAACAGGAGAAACGAAAGACCAACATGATGTGGTGGTGAATGCGTTCGTCTCCGGAAAGGCTAATAGCGCGTTCGTTCCCCACCGCAGATACCTGCAGTCCGCAGTTTTGCAAATATTATAGCATCATCTTCGTTTCCAACACAGCTGTTTTACAGCTCTTTCGTTGCCGGAGAAAACGAGTTTTCACTAGTTGATATAGTAAAGAGAATAGTTTGCCAGTTTTGGTGAAGACTAAGGGTCAGAGAACGTTGCTAAGGTTTCCACAGATGAACTTGAGATTTTGTATTTGGAAGTAAAATTGCATTCCATGTCTTGGAGGTCATAAAATTTTGGTTTGTTCGAACCTACGTACTTGCTCAGTTAATGAACTAGCACTTATATTCATGCACAAGAGCACAAGTTAAATATGTCATCGCCTTCAGATCAGGAACAATGCGCCTCTTTGACGAACTTGTGCCAGAGTAAAAATACTCGGTTGTTTTTAGTTCCTGCATTATCTTCTAATTGGCACATCACGTGAGTTCCATTGAATTTGGTATTTAAAATGGTATTCTGTTAAATATGTTTACAATGTTTCAGTGTCGGATAGTGACTGATGCTGAAGCGTCGGTGATTTTCTTACGAATATCCTTGGCCACTAAGGCCTGGTATCGTTGTGGTATAGCACGAATTGTTGTCGTTACTGTAATGTGTACTAACGAAAAATACTAGCTTGCTCAATGAGCACTTTTTCTGTAAATAACAAGACTGGGTTTTCAATACAGCTGTTTGTTTGCTTGAAATCTTTCCGTTGTAATAGTTCTTTATTTTGTGTTATTAAATCGCAGTGGTTGTCATCATAGATGCAGATTAGTTTTCCTAAGTTAAGTAATTTTTAAAATCTTTAAGTCTTGTTTGTAAAAGTTCACGTTTACGCTTCCGAGCTATGATCGCTGCTATGTTTTATTTTCCTCTGTCCGTCACCTCTGGTTATATTTTACTACTGAACACACTTGCAGTAGATATAATCAGGATCTCTTTTGTTTTCACTTTAATGAAATGCTTTACTTTTTATGCAATACTCGTGAAGACCTCAAAATACCGTATTTTTCACTGTTCATATTCGTTTGGAGTTCTTTTTTCTTTTGTTTTGTGAGATATATTGAGTGCCATCTGTTGTCTGTTCCATTGTATCTCTGTCAAAGATTCATGTTGTTGAGGAATTTTGCTGTAATAAATATATCAGAATATCACTGGAGACAGCAGAAAGGAAGAGCCATCGAAATTTCTGTCATCACTTTTTGACGAAGTTCGTTTTTGTTTGTCAGATTTAAGAAATTATCAACTCGATTCATTTATGTGATTGGAACGTTAAAGAAGATCCTGGGTTTTCTAGGTAAAGGTGAGAGGGATGCATGTCGAACGCCACGACGTCATGTGTTATGGTCCGCCCTGACGGATCACATGGATGCTCAATGCGAATCCTCCTCTCATTCCAACTCCCAGCATTCTTTGCAAGCCAAGTTGAAGATAGATTTCTAGCGATCTTGTCCAAATCCATCGGCTTCGGACTCAAAACTATGTTTTGGTGTTGTTAACAAAGTGTATACTATATACCGATGATTTAGTATCGTGGATGTAGCTCAGCGTCTAGCCTAAAGTCTTTGTGAGCTTAAAAGTTTTTGGAGTAGGTATGTGCTCTTCTGTTATCGCGACTTCTCGACGTCATAAGCGCGTCATAATATTCAACGAACCAGTTGTGCCTTAGGCATTTCTGATGATGGCAGATGTTTCTTCGAATTTTGTGAGGACCTATACACTTTTGAAATTCTGGAAGTTCAGTTACAAATCCCACCATTGTTTTCTACACGTTTCTTTAATATTCACATCGGCGTTCAGGACTTTGACTTCAATAATAACTATACATAGTGTATACCGGTGATTCCAACTCTCAAAGCACATATGTTAGTGGGAATGTTGTTTTGAATGGTAGACGGGCAGGCAAAGACGCTAGACACCTGTTGAAGTGCCGATTGAGCTTTATTGTCCTGCGCGCATGTTTCTTTCCCGTGTTGTTGAACAAATTAGAAGTTCTGACTTTTGATGAACGCTTCGCTACTACAGTTGAAATTGGAAATGAAGCTCGATAACTGTAAAAATGTGGAAAGCAACGTTATTCAGAGAGACGTGGTGACAGAGAAAGTTGTCGCTGTGACACTGAGTAATATGGCACTTAACAACTGAAGCGATGTACTCCTACGAATTGAGAGCTTCTTTGCAATCAGCAACTAAACGGAGAAGTTGAGATAAGAAGCTTGTTTATTTTGGGCAAACAAGAACAGCTTGACTGGAGAAATGGTCCTGAATACCTGCTTTAACACGTAGTTGAGCTTGAATTTTAGCTCCGCTTTTGCACGATCTGTTCGCGGGCTATTTCATTTTTACTAACAATCCTATGAGTTGTTCACAGAATTAAATTTCGTTACTCTTAGGATTAGTTCAAAAGTTTTGAATCTCTCTTTAACGTATACTGGTGAAATTCCATTCTCGTTCACTAGAAGAATCAGTGTAGCGACTTCGAGATGAGAAGTTGAATACTAAGAAGCCTCGCTATTAAATGTTCCGCAAACCGCAGAACTTCTTTCACTCGATTTTCTGCCCTTGACGGATTTCTCTGGGTTTGGCTGCAGTTCTATAGACTATTGACTTTTCTATTCACTGATAAAGTGTTAACTGCCGGTTGAGTGTGGTTTTTCGCGAGGTCTCGAGAGAGTCATGCTAGGTTGTTCGCATGCCTTCAGCACAAATAAATCGCTTCACAAATTAATGATCGATACAGAATTAACACAGGAAAATAGCAGCACTCACTCGATGCATCAATAGGCCACTGGAAGCCACTGTATAGGGGAAGTGTGCAATTACATCTGATGATGTGAATGATTAAGTCGACTGCGTAGAGCATCTCTCAAGGATAGATTAACGCTTTATTCTTTTCCCTTACATTTATTGATGGAGCGTGATCAGGATAAATCCCAGTTGACATGTTCACACTGTAAAATTGGAGTGAAACAGCAGCAACAATGGATATCTTATGGCTTTCATTTGCATTACGGCAGATTTAAGGGTGATGAGGTGCACATGCTATTCTGCCATCTTCGCTGCGTGTTCGTGGAATATTTTGGTATTTTTCGAGCATCTAACGACTTTTTAGCCCCTTTCTGTTGTTCATTTGAACGAAATGCTACTGAAGTCAGCACTAGGGTTGTTGATGTGTTCATATTTTGGAGATGTTCCGTTCCGCATATGTTGGTCGATAATATCCTCCCACTGTTTTTATATCAAAAAAGTGACGAGCGAGCCTGGTTTACACAGCATTCATGCCAAGTTGTTTTTACAGCATTTATGCGGTGATTCTTTTACGTACTTCCACAAATTTGTTTGGTTATATTGCCTTTTTAGCGTATGTAGTGAAGTAGTTAGAGGTCCCATACAATATACAAGACTAGCCTTTGGTTCGATTCCGCCCCCCCGAATAATCAAGCCTTCCATTCTTCCGGGGTCAGGGAATGGGTAACAAGTTTTCTGGGAGAATAGCAGCACTGACTTGACATATCGGCTGGCCGGCGCAAGTCTTTTTATGGACGAAATTTATTTGAAATTATTTATTTTACATGACCCCTCTTCCACATCTATTGTGCGGTTCCTAGTACTCGTTGCATTCGATTCGTTTCGTCACATCCACCATCCGTGAAGGTTTTCCAACTTTTGTGTGTGGGTTCATCTATTATTTGACTATTTTTCTTTCGTCACTAACGTCATTGAATGCTGCTCAAGTCGGTTCTCCCTGGAGTCCTGAGATAGCCTGGTTAGGGAGTTCTCGTTTAGGTTACAGCGAGTAAACTTTTTCCAGACAAGCCTCTTATAGATTTCCTGACCTCAGAGGAATGAGAAGCTTGGTGAGCAGCGGGTTGGGGATTGAACTAGCAGCGTAGTCAGGATAATCGACATCACTCCTACTGTGTTACTTGTCCCCTTGCATGGACGAAGTGTGCGTTCAATCATCTCAACAATGCGTAATGGAGTCGGATGCATGAACATCTCTCAGGGATTGATGAACGTCGAAAGTTTTATTCTTGTTTCCTTTGTATTTTGAATAAAATTCATGGAGGAACGGATGTGGTAATGAGGAAGGTATTTTTGGTTTAAAATTCTGCGTCATCATTTTACCATATTTGGGCATTAATAATAAGCAACTAACACAAACAATATTTCTTGCTCGTTTTTATTGAAATGGTATGCAGAAACAACAGAATTGTGTGACTAAGTTGAGCGACGTCTGAGAAATAGGCGTTCATTTAGTTTCAAGAAACTGTTTAATCCATTTTAGGATGTCGTACGAAACGATTTCGGTGCGAATGAGTCGCAGCGACTCGTCAATCAAATGGGGATTCACACTGGGCCTGCATGGAAGCAAAATCATAGTGGCCACGGTTTGTGGCGGCGCCATTATATTACGAAATACGTACTTTTCCCTTTAGTTCTTACCAGTGACTCTACTAAATTTTTTTTGTTCTTTGGAATAGTTTTGTCGCATGTTACGTTAACCGACAACCTGTAAGACGCCTTCATCCTTAGTTTGTTTTCTGTTTATTTGGCTGGTGTCGCTACTTCATGGCAACGTTCTTGGCCCGAGCTTTTAACCAGAAGCCCACGATTTCACCACGGCAAGGCTAACTGTAGAGAGCTGAATCGGATGTTGCTTTTTCCAATGAGATAACCTATGTGAGAACCCGCATCGAATTAATACCTGTACTTAAAGGTTTTTGAATATTTTTGAAGAAAACAATTGCTGAACATGAAAATTGGGTTATTTTGCAAGTTATACATCGAGTTATTCTTTAGAGAACCGTGGGATTTGGTGTAGAAATCTAAATGCAAGTAACTCGATGCTGGCACTCCACTTTCATAGCTCTTTTATGAGGTCTTTCCTAATAATACCGCACTAAGGAAAGAGGTTGAGAAATTCTTAGCCTTCCGAGCAAAGTAATCGTTTATCATACGACATTCAGAAGCTTCGAGTGCATTGAGCACACCTATGGGACAATGTTAGTGATTATGTTGTGGACTAATTTCTTTGATTAATAAATTTATTACTACTGAAAAACACTGTTTACTATCTCAGAAATCTCTAACGAACGTACTTAAACTAGGTACATGGATATGAAATATCCTCCAGTTCCTGCATGCATGTATAAGTTTATGGTAAATTGGTTAATCCAATAGATTCAGTAGCCTGTGTATGCGCTGGATTATTATTTAAACAACTAACTGTAGTCAAAAGTTTTGTTTGCGAAAAGATGCATGTTTTAATGTGCTCGTAGTCTCCCTCATAGAAGATCTCGAACTGGTTACTCTTAGGATAGGGTGGAACATTTTACATGGTGGATAAGTGATAAGAGTGGACCAGGAGCGACTACGTGTTTGGTTCCAGCTGTTGGTAAATTTAACTATGGAACTGATGGATTCCTTGATTCCATAGCTCCTGTTTAACTTGTAGCTCCCGTAGACTTGAGCCAATTTACCTTGTGCTGGGCCAAAAAGCGGAAAAGTGGAAAAGTCTGTATCTTTCAAGTATAGAGATTTGACGACAAACCGGTTCCACTATAAATTTTTGGCTTACATGTGATTCATCCAGAAGCACATTATACATCACGTTCAAACAAATGTCTCGTGGTCCATTAGTTTAGGTTCCAGCTTATGTAGTTTGTAGAGTTCTTTAAAAAGACACCCATGCTCTCTCTTAAGTGCACAGGAAACCAGTGAAATAGTAATGGTCCTCCTGGGATGATGTTCTGGAATAGTGTTATAATTTATTGTGTCTATCTTCTCCACAAAATCATGTCAGTAATTTCTAGGTTGATAGAGAATCGTTGTCAGATAAAGCCGGCATGAAACCTGGAGACGAAGTAGATTCGATTTGTGGAAGAGACGCGCACGTACGTGCTCATCGCACTTTCTCAGATTACACCCGTACTTGAAGGGCATTTTCCACTCTTAAACTGTTTAATAGTAATTGCGCGTATTTAGAATATGAGCATTAATGAGGCAAATGGCATCGTTTTTACAGCACATCAGGAGATTCGCTTCAACTTGAGACGGTGAGAACACCGATTTCACCAATACTGTAGCTTTCTCCAATGTTCTCGTTACAGGTACGTCACCACCCATACATGCCTTCCATGGACGCTTACTGAAAAAGACAACAAGTTATTCGTGGACGAAGTACAGCCCGGATTCGGCACTGGATTCGGCACTGTTCGTTCGCCTGGTTATAATAAATATTAGAGGAGCCCATTGTGTAGTTTTATCCATACAGAATCCTCCGTGGATATTGATTCCGTGATGCAATCCTTTTCAATTAAATATGGATTTTTATAAACAAGATGATACTTTACCTGTACAAGAAGTGTTGCAAAGGCTTTCCTAAGACTCGAAGATAACACGCGGTTGGATTGAAATTAATGGCCACTCAGGTGGTGTCGGAATGACAAACATAAAGAATCAAAAACGAATGTTAGATTTTGAGTGTGTAAAATTACAAGCACATCCATATCATATACCAGCAACGAATTCTTGGCTTTTGATGAAAAGTAGTGGCTTTCGTAGAGAATACGGAACAGTTTGGGTTATTTCCTCAAACCCTTGCTATTTGGCTCTTACTCTTACTGACCGAGTCCTGAAAGTAGCGCGATTTTTAGGGAAACGAAATGTGGGCAACGGATAAGATAAAGTGAGTAGGTTTGTACAGTTTTCGTTCAAATAGTTATGTGGAAATCATCAAAATTTCAATGATGGATTGTAAAGTTCGAGCCTTTTTGAGCGACAAGATTGATGAGATATATAAGACGTGAGATATTGGGAATTACTGATAAGATTGTTTAGGGGAGCGAGGACGAATACCGTTCATCTTCAGCTAATTACAAATCATTGGACAGTTCTAATCAACAAAGGAGCATTTCAATTCAATATCAGCCCAGTTATCAAAGCAACTCATCGCACAAGTAGGTGCTTTTCAAACCAATCAATACTCGACGCCATCTGCGGCTGTGTTAAGCTAGAGGATTGTCATCTAAATGGCGAGAGAAGTATGTTCTTTTTTGCAAATCATGCCAAGCATCTGGACAACGGCTTGTGAGTTTACTGCATTTTACTGGATGCTTGGCTCGGTAACCCACTGCGTTTTTTGTTTTTCTTCGAACCGTCAAGCATCTACTGAGGTGAGGAAGATGAATAACATCCTCACTGGAGAAGATGATATACTTTTCTATTAGCACAGGTTATGCTAAGGTATTTCTATTCGGGAAGGTAAAAACTAGACGCAAAAGACCGATCTTCTATAAATCTCGGCACAAATAGTTGGTATATTTATTTATACGATCTTATAAACTGATCTTGTTAAGCCGATGCGAGGTTGATGAAGGTCTTCGTTGTCGTTGTTGTTGCTGTTGCTGGTGGATGACCGACGTTTCGGCGATTTTGCCTTCCTCTGCGCCGTGATGTTACGAGTGGGAATCGTAGAAATGAATATAAAAACTGGACTGTTCGTTTAGCAGACGAGCGCAAAGAGTGGATACCACTGCGCGGACTGCCTAATGAGACGACAGATGTGTTCAGATTCACATTTTCATTCTGAACTTTCGGAATAGGTGCTGGTTGCTGACGACTGAGCCTGCATTTCTTCTCAAGTACAGAAGCAATAAATCTCTTTCAATGAGGAATTATAATTTTTTGAAGGAATGCTGTGGCTACAGAGTTTTATTGTCACACCGCATTATCTAGTATTCCTATTTTACTAGGGCCTGTTTTTATGAGGAGCTAAGTGTAATGTGTCTAATCGAGCGTTTATAGGCTTCCATGTAGTAATTTTTAAGCTTTACACGTGGTGCCCATAACGGCAGTTATGTCGTTAACAATAGTCAGCCACGCGTCTATCATAGCCCATCTACGTACTCTCGGCACGAACAATCCGACCACACCAAGATGACCACACAAAGAGCTGCTGTTCAGGTGGGATGATTCGTGAGCGATGTTCTTCTCAGACGAGTTCTATGCCACAATTCCTTTTTTCTTCAAATATAAACTGAAAAAGGCATCATACAAGGAAAACAAATGAATCACCGAATTTCATGTGAGTGGATGAATGATGCTTATGGTATATGTGAGCTCTGTTTCTAGGAAACCAGCAATATCCAACCATATTCCGTTTCGGCAACTCAAAACTTCACGTCTGTGCCTTCTGATAACAACGTAGACCACAACATCGCTAGCGTTGGAAATTCGTCAAACCTCAGTTCAATGTATAATATGAAGCATGCCAGTGAACAATATTCAACTTTGGACAACGCGCCACCCGCTGCTCAGAACTATAGGTTCGATTTTTATTAATGCTATGATTCTAGGGTTAAACATTTGAGAAGAATCTTATAGTCCATTGATTTTTCTGTTTTTGAACTATGCACAACTCGAGAGGAGTTTAGAAACAACCTTTTCAAATTACAGCATAACATTGGTCATTACGGTTCAGTGAATGTCTTTTCAACTTTTTTTCTACGAAGTGTACGATTGACTTAACTTTCATTTTGACCAGAATTGCCGGCAATGAGGTTTTTGGGAAGCGCGTACAAGTCTGCCTGCCCTTCAATCGTTAGCAGACCTTGGTGTTAGATGTCAAGTATCTTGGAATTACCAAAAGATAAAAAAATGTTTGGACTTGTCTCTTTCAACCATTCTCACTATTCGAAGTGAAAGATTCAGAATTCGATTGTTCATCGCCTAATTTGTGGTGATGTTTGTATGCAACTAGGATCACCAGAATAGTTATTTTGAGCCCAACATTTAACTCAGTTCTAGTATTATAACCGGAATATAGATTTAATTAGTGTTTATAAACACAGGAAAATCAGAGATATAAAAGGTTCAGCTACAACAATGGCGTCACGACAACCGCTTACAAACCGAGTTCCGGAGGCATTCCTCTGAATCAGACCGCATTTATTCAAACCTCACCGCATTCACCTTTGCAATACTCTTCTGCCGTATCTCCTAGTAAGCACCAACCGTAACTTTTTATTTTTTACAGTTTTTTTTATTAATTTGGTCTATTTTTTTAAAAATGAAGTCGTAGGCTTTTTCGCTAGGTAGTGTAGTTAGGGCTTTTAGATTAGCCTATACCTTATAGTTATTGAAAACAGATAACCATAACATTGAGAGGGTACTTAAGTGTGATCGCCACTGGAAAAATTTGATGCAAAACTGGATAAGACGGCCTTTTCAGGCTATATTACTAGTTTTTTTGTGAAACTTTTCAGGAGGAACACGAGTATACTACCACTCGCCTTCCGATCGAACGCGCCGGTCACTCTCACCACATGCATCCGTTCAACACCTACAAGTACTACCTTTGCAAAATAAATACCGTTTTCGTCGTGATTTTCCGTTCTTCACCTTTTATTTTTTTTCTCCATTACCTTTTAAATTTTTTCGCAGCTTTTTTTTGATTGGATCTTTATTTCAGTATAATTCACCCATGAACCTCTACACAACGGAATCAGCAGCCGAGCAGTATACAATGCAAACTGGGCGTCCTATAGAGTCAGCTTTCTTCCAAGCATTTTAAATTGGAGGCCAAAAATTTTATCTAAGGTGCCATTGGTGTTCGCCGACTGCAATATTGAAGGCGCTTCAGAGAGATGTGCATTTCGAAAGGTTTTTTCCTGATCACCGAGTTATTGCATTTTTTAGGCTGCCAGCCTCTGCTGCAACTCAATCCCCAGCGTATCTGACCTCCGAAGTAAAAAAGGTAAATAAGCCGAAAATAGGTCCCGAATATTTTATGTGTTTTCGCCTTTATTATTTTTATCCACTCTGTCTATTTATTTTCTTTTGCGCGACAATAACATCTTGCTAAATTCTGTAGTATTACGTCATTCAAAAATAGTTTTCGCCTTTTCAAATGCTGACCATTTGTTTTTAACAAATTCTTATATCTTTGGATCCATGCTATATATATCGATTTAAAGCTATTTCGTCCTGCATTGCATTTGATGCCAATTTATTTTTTCTGTAAAAGGATGGAAGGATGAAGCTCGCGGCGTTGAGCAATCCTTGAGGGATGCGCCACGCATTCGACTTCATTACGTATCGTTGGAGAATTGGATGCATATCTGGCCTTTAAAATAACTCTCGATGGCCTAGCGTTGTATAGAGCCAGCGCTGGTATTCTCCAAGACAAATCTGGTACCAACATGCCGACCCCAGAGGAATGGAAGGTTTTGTGAGTCACGGACGCTGCGATCGATCCCATGTGTGTTGCAGGTCGCCTTCGACCACTGCGCCACACGCGCCTATTCTTTATTTCTGTATTTGCATTAAATCTAAATATTTTAATGTTGCCACTTTTAATTTACTGCCTGTTCTTTTTTTAATCGCAGGGCACTGCGTCAAATGTAACCATAATGATGCTGGAATATTTGCAAAATTCCGGGTTGCTGGTATCTGCGTTGGGAACCGAACACGCTCTTCCCCTTTCCGTGGTTTAAGGCGTTCACCACCACACCATGCCAGTTCTTCGTTTTGCCTCTGTATCTACACATATATTTTAGTATCCTTCTGAACTTTTTTGTTTTCAAGGCTTTCATCTGTCGCGATATTCCGAAATTCACGCTTTATTTTGAAAAGATCACGTGAAACTCATTTACTCACAACGGCTTGATAGCAGGAAAGATGGACCGGCCAGAACCGAAGCGACCGTTTCGCAGCACCATACTTACTTGGATACTTGGATGGCCCATCTTCACTGGTAGTGCTAGCCTCAGAACAATTTCCATTCGTTTGTATGTCTCGCAGACGTCGTCCGTGCTGGTGACCTGCTCGGAACAAGGTGATGCCCGCCAGTCACTCCACTGATCTAGGATTTCATATTACTGAAAGTGCGAGGTCATGTGGGATGCGAGAAGAACATGTAATTTGTGGCCACTAGCTCTAACGAAATAAGCTGGTTATGGAGCCGTGCTTCTCTTCATAGTGTCTATCGAAACCCGAATTTCCGAGGGTAGAAGCCTGGGTGGTTTTTTACCAGCATGGATTTTGAGGTTCGAGGCGAGGAATGTGATATGGTTTCCGAGCAGCTCCTAGTCACTTTTTCTATATACCGATATAATTCCTGCAAAGATCTACAGCTAACATTTATTATCAGCTCTGCCAGGTGTGCTGCAATAGGATCAAGGTTCAGTGTCCTTCTCTTTTTGAGTAACTTTTTCGTCCTAATGTAGATGCTGTCTGAACATCTTCTTTGAGGATCTGAGACGAGTCCAGATATAATCTTTCCGACAAACAATTGGTATTGCTCGGTTGGGTCTTCATTTATCTGCCGTTGAAATGAGGAGAGGATTTTATTGAGAATATCCTAATCATTCAAAACTTGTTTCGTTTTCTTTGGACGATGATGGGAGTTATTTCCCAGCACATAGTTGCGTCGAATTTTTGCCTGGGGAAGGCGGTTGTCAGATCCACAACGGAATTCAAGTGCCATTGAGATGCCAAAGAGGCACTTTTTTTTGTTTGCGAGAATATGATCGATCTCCGTGCTGCGGACCGTAGTCCTATAAAGTGGTTTCCATTCTCATTTCCTTTTCATATTCCGACTTTCACTAACGTGAATCCATTCTTGTTGATCGCTCCTAATCTGGCATTGTAGTCACACAAGGGCTTGTAAAAGGGATTCCTCTCATGGATTACTTTTTCCAGTCAGCTGTAAAATGCGTCCACTTTGTTCTCATCAGCAAGTTCGAAGTGGAAATTGGTGACGAAGAATGGTCAAGCGTGGTAATAATATTTCGTATGAGATGAATAAGTTGTAAATACGACAAAGCCATCGATGCCGACATTTCGCAAAAGAAATTTTCCTCAACAAATAACAAAAGTAACGAATCCGACTAACATGTGTCGGTTTTCCTGCTTTTCGTCGTTATAGGGCTACCACGAGAAGAGCGTAAAGGTCGTCGCCTGAGGAGACTGTTCTGTCCTTATCGGCGCAGAAAAAGAAGCAGGTTCCACAGCGTGTAGTGGTCGTGCTAGTTTTCCTATTTCAAGTGACATCCTGTGAAAGCCGACGTTTGATCGCCTTTCACTGCTCACTCCTCGACGATGTAAACGGGACCATCCAATGTGCGGAATGCTGAAGGTGGAGCTTTGCTGGTTTAGTCATTCTGGTTCCTTGGAATCCTGAGGTCAACCTAGCCGAAGCCTTCCTCAGGTTATCTCCACTGGAGGCAATTGCCGCCCTTGTGGATCAGACGTAAATTTCCTACCATGCGACTAGTTTGATGTCAGGATGGTGGTGATTGTTGGTATTGGTTTGCTCTTAGCTAGGCTTCTGCTTGGAAACGTCGGACTCCTTAGCAGCTTGGGATGGGAGGCCCTGAGGTGGGTTTGAACTCTCCGCCGTGGCACCACAAAAATACCTCCCAGCCATGATGAGATGGAACACCGTTGGAAGTTAGCCAAATTGGAATTTTCGAAATCAAGTTCTTTTGGACTGAATGAGAAGTAACAAGATCGTCGTAGTGAAATCTATTCTGCACTTTTTTTTAGAAAGTTTTTCGGTGTTTCATCGTCGTCGAGCCTTCTGAAAGACATCGTCAATTGTCAAGTCTATTTTTTTGTCATGCGTCACAATTACTTGGAAAACGGATCGTCATATTGTGAGAAAAAATTGTGAATTAAACATCATATGAAGTTATCTTTTCTTTGGGCTCATGTAATGTGACATCACTTTGTTGGATCTTTTAGACTTTCTACCTTCTGACTGACTAGTTGGGTAATCCAAAACTGTTGTCTCACTTCCATCTTGGTTTCCTCATGAGCCGTTTTATGCCTAGTTCAGCTTGAATTGATGTTTTCAAATAATTACCGTTGATCATTTCTGCTTTTACCATGGAATTTTTAGAAACAAAGTCGTATTCACAGTGTTAACCTTTTATTTTCTGCCTACTAAAATTGTTCACGGTAGGGTATGATGTGAATTACAACCACAACGATGGTGAGATATCCGCAAAACTTGGGCCCTAGGCCAAATCGAGCCACGATTCCTCTCTCTGGGGCTTGCGTATTACGTACTACCCACGGCGGGCCATGCTCTGCGCTCCTCTCAGCTAGTTTTCTACCTAACGCTACCATCAGCAATCACCCGTCAGCGGGGTTGATCTGGAGAGCACAAGTCGGCATTCAGTCCAGTGAAGCTGAGGCTGTAGTCAAAATCACAATATTAGCCTTTTATTTTCTGCCTACTATAATTTTTCACGGTAGGGTCTGATGTGAATTACAACCATAACGATGCTAAGATTTTCGCAAAAGTTGGATCCCGGGCCAGATCGAACCATGATTTCCCTTCCCGGAGGATTGCGCATTACACACTGCGCCACGGAAGTCCTTGCTCAAAATCGTATTCTATGACACGGTTCCTTTACTAAAGAAGGTTTATATTGTAGACCGCTTATGCAGCTTTGCGCAAAGTTTGTAGCAAAGCGTTTCTAGGATCTTCATGGACTTCTGCTGCACTTTGAAACCTAGATTTAATACAAGTAGGCACAAAGATAGAATCACTGGTGTAAAGATCTGGAGTATGGTTTTAAAATGTTATATAACATGAGAACGGAAGCATGGGAACTTATTTAAAAGTAAAACGTCAAAGTTTAAAATAACATGGTTAAATTATTTTCTTTTTGAAAACTATAAATATTCGAAACCTTAGATTTGTTAATGCCATCGCCTCTGCTTTAATCCATCGAATTTGTCATTTTGAGTGGGTACTTGGATACTTGGATGGCCCGTACTCACTTGCTGTGCAGCGTCCAGCATAATTTCCACTTTTTGGAGTTTTGCTGGTTTGGCCATTGTTTCTGTGGACTCCCGAGGTCAGTTTAGTCAAAGTCTGCCCCAAGTCTTCACCATCACAGGCAGTTGCCGACGTAGTGGATTAGAAGGAGATTTGCCACCATGCGAATAGTTTGATACCAGGACCATGGTGGACTCTGGGATTTGTTTACTCTTAGCTGGGCTTCCTGGTGAAAACGGCAGACTCCTTCTCAGCTTGTGAATGTTTGCCTTCCATTATCTTAATCTTGGACGGCATTCGGGCTTCTCAAAGAAGCCACCGATCAACTTAATTACCCGGAAATCCGCGTTCGTCTTCTCGATTCAACGGTCCCCTAGGTCTCTGTTATACTGCAGTGACGTGGGCTGATACGATACTGCAACCACGGCAAGAATACTCCTCACTACTCACAGATGGCTTGAGTGATGTCTTTTGAAACATAACCGTCACATCAATATCTAGCCGGAATGCGAAGCTTCTGTATTCAATGGACTTGTAACGAAAGTAAAAAACTATTCAAGCAGCAACCTAAGCCACACACAAAAAAAAATCGAAGTGTTTCCTGGATGGTGAATGCGAGAAGTGCTAAGGTCCTCACAATATGACACATAATGTTCATCTAACTATTCATTACTTTTTCAGCAACATTGAAGTAGTTAATTTATGTGGCCGAAGATCTAGGAGTATAGGAATCATAAGTGAAATGCTTTAGGAATATAGGAATCATAAGTGAAATGCTTTAGGAATATAGGAATCATAAGTGAAATGCTTTAGGTATATAGGAATCATAAGTGAAATGCTTTAGGAATATAGGAATCATAAGTGAAATGCTTTAGGAATATAGGAATCATAAGTGAAATGCTTTAGGAATATAGGAATCATAAGTGAAATGCAATAAGGATAAAGTTTTCAACGTTTTTTCAGCTGATTGAGGAACAAGAACATGGTCGTGGACACCGAGTTGCCTCTCCATCGACTCAATCCTCGTCCTTTAAAAGAATCAGTCAGGCTGTTGGAGAGCCGGTGAACTAATAGTTTCACTACAATTCATGAAGATGGGCCATCGCGGAAGTGATTTTTCTTCTTCACATCGAATTTTCACCAATGTGTATCCGGAGCAATTTTATTACTATTCATCTTGCCACAATATGTTTTATATCAAATCTTGTGCATTTTGTACATAGAAAGCAATAGTGGCTTTTTTAGTTGTTCTATCTGTTAGAATCTGATAATTACATTCATCTAGTAAATTTATGCATAGGAGAAGCATATGTAGTTATTAAAACATAATTCACAGCGGTAAGTTTATGTAGAAAAGAAGATCGCTTTCCAATAGACTTCAGTTCTCTCATATCGCTGAAGTATGCCATGCTGATGACTTAGTGGTCCGTGGAGACCCTATCGAAACAGTGTTTGGTCGCATGCTCGATGCAACTGACAACAAATTTTGAAAGCTAGTGGAAAAGTCAAAATTGCTTGGAAACGAATGGAACAAATGTAAGTCATCGGCAAACATTGGAGTCTAGCGAAGAGCAAAGTAGAGCAGGCGGTATCCTGAACGCGAAAGGTAGTTTAGAGTATGGAGACTGAGGATTCATACCAAGTTGCCGGGTAGCTCTTGACTTGTCTTAGGATTGACCCTGAAATAAAATTAGTGGGTGATGGAAAACAAGCCGAAATTAACACATTCAATGGGAATTTTAATTCTACGGTTATTATGAGCGAGAGCTCATGGAAAGGCACCACCAGCGAAAGGCAGTGTTCATGATGGAATCCCCAGACAAATTGCAAAAGTAAAGAAAAGAGTTTAAAAAGAACGAAAAAAAACAGTGAGAAGGCGAAGTGTACCTCTTTAGAGTTACTTTGTTGTTGTGTTTATGAAGCCATGAATTAGAAGATTAGCAAAAAACGAAACATTTAAAAGATTTTCCGCTGCAATGAAGTATACATAGCTGCTGAGAGCGAGCATAGTAGGTTTCATTACTCAATAAAACTTTTCATGATATACCACGGAGAGAAGGAACATTAATCTGAACTAAAGAGACAACCGCCCATTGAGTGGAGGTGTTGAACTGCAAAAAGACGGTGGGTGTTATCTTACAAGGGAAGTCCCAACGGATTGTTGTTGTCGCTTGAAGAACGTTCGTGGGAAATGGGTGGTGGTCGGAATACCTCTCTTTGCTGTTGCATCGCAAACTTCTCTAACCTGGCACTATAATGGAGTTGATCCTACACTTCATTCTAACTATTAAAAACGTTGCCGGCTTTTGTTAACGGTTTCAGTTCACACAAAGTTCAAGAAGTCCCGACGCTACTCCATCCCACTGTCATGAAAAGATCGCTGTTTTTCGCCGTTTGAAATTTATTGCCATCTATTTTGAGTAGACGACAAATAAATCCTCTTTTTCACGAACACTGCCTCTACTCTCTCTCGAAAGTATTCTTTCGAAACTGAATATCTCCTTTTATTTCTAGTGACGCGGAAAAAAACTTGTGCAAACTTTACGGACATCAATAGAAGCAATAAAATGCACTGTCATCAGACTATGAACGTAATCACAGTTCCACTAACTTCGGGGCGTATTTCGGTGGCGGTTCGTAGTTGTTCTGCTTCGGGAAGGGCACTCTAAAAATTAGCTTATTATAGTCTTCCATAAAATACATATATATGTGTATACATGTGCATATATAACATACATATCACATACATAAAAGGATAAAAATAAGGACAAAGCTATTGGTGCTTATCAGTCTCTGAGGGATGTGAAATGCACTCGATTTCACACAATATGGCTAGAGGTGATTGATTGTATATCTGGTCTATACAATAACACGCTGTGGCCTACTGATATATCGAATCAGTGCTACTATCCTTTCAGACAGTTCTACTATCAATTTCTCGACCCGGAGAGATGGACAGCTTGGTGATCCTGGGGAGCGGGATCGAAGCCATTTGTGTTGAACGGCACCTTTAACCACTGCGCTACACGCCCCCATATTACATACATACATGTATGTGTACACATATTATTTATACATATATATGCATATAAGTATGTACTTCCGTACATTCATTGTATATACCTATGGCTGTCAAAAAGTACATATGAACACGAAAATTTTTTACGTCCTAGACATTTCTGCAACTGTGGCTAGCCTAGTGCTCGCACGCACTTGGAAAGTCCATGGCAAATGTACAGCGATTGTTTTAACTTTTATTCACAGCGTATTATTTCTAAATAGCAGGGTAAATAAAGTGCAGCCACAAAGATCCTAAGATATGTGCAGAACACAGGACCTCAAGTGGGTTTGTAAGGTCGTTTGGGGTCACGTGTTTTGCTCATATCTCACAATCCCTATAGTTATATTTGATACAGCCGTTGTTTTCCTATAACAAAGATCAGTAAGGTAATAGCATTTCAAAAAACAGTCCTAACCTTCTCGAGTTGTTAAGTTCGATTCTTTGGCGAGCATTTCGGAAAAGCTTGCTGTTCTTGATCCATGCGTCCCAAGCGTATATGAAAAATGCGAATAGAAACGGGAGTATGTCGATGAAAATAAGCAGAAGGACAGTGTACGTTGGAAACAGCGAGTTTTTTATTTTCGGGATGCACGGTTGCTGGAAAAATCAGGTGAGAAGAGTACGCATAGTTCAAACGGAACAATTTTCACAACTTATTGAGAAAAGCTACAATTGACTGAACTTAACTTCAACTTGGATGTGTGGTGAATATGTCAGAAATATGAGATTTGAAAAATGAGGTTGAGGCTTTTGAACGATCCGAGCACCGTATAAGTCTATAATTTAGCCAACTGCAGTTTTGATTTGGTCATAGGCACCATTCACCAACTAAGTGTCCCTCTATTAACATGCTAATGAATGAACGGAAAGTAGGAACTCAAGAGTGATATCGCATTATGAATGTTATGGTTATTACCTTAATGTTCCTTAATATCATCTTTATTCTTCCATTGATAAGATAACACAAGGTTGATAAAAAAAACTTTATTCGGCTAAAGTCTTGGCGCCTTTGCCTCCTTGTTAGAAAAAACAGCTGAATACTCCTACGACCGACTTTCTATTAACCTCGGCATTGATCACGTAATTCTTCGTATTTTTGTTGAGCAAACGCGAGGTGTTATTATTCTTTATTCACGAACAAGCTGACGTTTCGGCAGATTTCGCACATTAGCTGAATACATTTCTTTATAAACTTTATGTTACTTGTTAAAGAGAAGCTTTATATTGATTAGTTCTATTGAGGTTAAGCAAAATCAGTTTTTGAAACAATTTTAAGCTATGTGCTGGCTGATTGTGCAGGATGGATTATCCGGAGGAAACAAGTTACAATTACCAGATAATCACTGTAAACAACAAGCGTCCTTTATAAAAGTGTAAAAAAAGCACTACCGAGCGGAGTTTTTCACTCGAACGCTGCCCCATTGGATTCGACTAGATGTGGTCACGAAGACCCACTTCGGAAGAAGAAACTGTGGACCATCATCGATTCGGATCAATCCGGGTGAGGGGAAGGCAAAGGCGCCCACACGTCAGCCGAACAAAGCCTTTTGTCGAGCTTAGCTAATAGCTTATCAATGAGCAAATATATTTTGATTAGTCATACCGAGGTTAAACGAAAGTCATTTTTTACCGTTATTTTTTTCTGCACATGACTTAGTGTTCTTTTTCAAGACACTGCGAAAGTACTTTCGTTACAATTATTATTAGTTACTGATTATTATTATTAATAATTGTCACTATTTATCACCATTATTATTATTATTATTATTACTATTATTATTATTATTCAAATGATCCTTCGTGCGGATTACAAACAGTTCTGGCATTCGATTCGTTGTCCTCGCATTCATCGTCCACAGTGTCTTCGAAAATTTCGCGCGTTGTTTCCGCTGCTGCTTGAGGATTACGTCTTCATTATGAATTTCGTAGAATGCTGGACGAGTTGATTCTCTTTAGAATCAAGGCGTTGCACGTGGATTGGAGGTGTGTATTGGGGAGGGGATCGAACCAGCGAAAGTATTTTGACGCATGCGAAGAAAAAAATTATAAGCACGCGTCTGGCTGTGTAACTCAACATTTTAATAAGAAGATTTTTCAATTAATATCCTTTTCAATATTTTCAAATTTTAATTAATTAAATTAAGAATTTTAATGAGTTCAATGAAGAAAGATGGTAGTTCACTGACCTCGATTTGCTTGCATAAGTTCAAAATTAGCCAAAAGTCTAAAATTTTGCGAAACCCTATCACTTGCAGAATCAATGTTTATTTTTACCCGTCACCTCTTTGAAAAATGAGAGCTAAAATTTCCCGGTGTATTTTAGAGAGACCACGGATCTCCATCATATGAGGGACCTCGAGCCGGTTAGTCGCGAGGCTACGTGGCGCGTCCCCAAATGGGGGATAGGGGGTTAATCGCGGACCAAAAGCGACCTTTGCTTTCCTGAGACGCAAGTGGATCCAAGAGATGGACTCCCTACTTCTACTGTGCTGATTTGGTACATACTTTCTGTCCCCAGGATCGACTTTCTCTTAACCTCGGCATTGGAATATGAATGTGTCGTTTTCTTGTTCAGCAATCGCGAGGTTTTTAAACAGCATACATTTACTTCCATAGAAAAACAATACAACACAACGCTAGCTGACGTTTCGGCAGTATCGTCTTCTTAGGAGCCTGGAAGGGTATTCTGATATACAATCTACTAGGCCAAACGCTTCAATGACACTTACAAAAAGACGAAAGACTCTTTGGTAATTACATGATCAACATCTTCTCGAAACACCCACATCAAAAATCGATGCGGTCGTGCAGTCGTCAACCACATGCGACTATAATCAGCTGTTCTAAACTTCCTCATTGGAAGTCACGAAAAAGCGGTGGGATGTATGCTGTTTAAAAACCTCGCGATTGCTGAACAAGAAAACGACACATACTTTCTGTACTTGCTAGGCGTATTCACGCATGCGTGTGTGGGTGCGTTCTTGTTTATGGGGATTGTATTCTACGAGTCAATTCGGCAAAAAGCCTGCAATCAAGTGACTGGGAAGTATATGGGAGGCGGTTAAGAGTCGCCTCCAACAAATAAGCTCCATGTTCACTCTGGGAGAGCCTGGCAAGCTACTCGTGAGTATACTCAGCCCCACGTTCAGCGACCAGCAAGCTATACGTGGGTATCAAAAATGCAAAACACGGTAAAAAAAAAAAGCGAGCCTCATTCTTCTGACCCCGAAAGAGCCTCCAATTCGGCAGCGTAGTGTAGGGCGAATACCGAAAGGCTGCTAAAATCTCAGGGCCAATGGAAGTTACCTGGATAACGAAGAACTCAGGTCTGTACCTATAATGCACTTACACTTGCATCCGAGTCCGCCATAGAAGACTTGCTCATGCAGGGAAGAAGGATAAGGTACGACGTCATCGGTCTGGCCGAGACGAGAACGTGCCACCCATTCAATGCCGTCTATGACACCGGAGAGGAACTGTTCCTCGGAACATGCGACAGTAGAGGAGTCGGCGGAGTAAGCGTTCTCGTCAACACGAATTTGTCCATGAACATCGATTCATTCGAACAACATACAACCCGAATCGTACGTTTACAATTAAGAAGACGTGAATCAATTCCGGCTTTGACAATCTTCGTCGATTACGCGCCGGCATCAAACTGTGACAAAGAAGTCGAGCCGTTCTATATGGGATTGGAGAAGTTCTACAGAGAAGACCACACATTCTTCAAGGTCATCATTGGAGATTTCAACGCCAAGATTAGACCAAAAAGAAGGTTTGAAAAACGTCACATTGGGACCCACGGATTAGAATGGAACGAACAGAGTGAGCGGCTATCTGAGTTTATCATGGCGACTAAGACAATCCTTGGTAACTCGCAATTCCAGAAGCCTCACCCTCAGTGCTGGACGTGGGGGTCTCCCAATGGCGAGTACCATAACGAATAGACCACATCATAGTAAACAGAAGGTTTTGCCTACAGATGTAGCCGTTGTCACAAAATTCTACACGGGATCAGACCATCGTCTCCTTCGTACAAGATTCTATTTCTCGCGGAATGGAGAAAAAGCCGCTAAATTCCAACACCGAAGTACCAGAACCACCGCAAAAGGAGACTTATTCAAATCATTAGTCGGCTGTTGGGAAGATGTCGTTGTCGATAGCATCAACGAAGAATACGATCGGCTCATTCAACATCTTTACGCTAGCGCAGTGGAAGCTCAGAGTTCGAAAGTCACCAAGAGACGTCTGTCTCCAGATACACTCAAGCTGATACGTCAACGTGGAATTGCACGAGCTGCAGGAACCGAGGGCTAACGTCTGAACTTGAAAAACAGTGCAGAGAGGTGATAAAGGATGATCTGAGAAAGACAAGCGCAACAGCAATGGTCGAAGCTGTAGAGGCTGGGAAAAGCATTCGCAAAGCCCACCGAAGTTCCGCCAATTACAAGACCGAAATGATTGCTCTCCGGCGTCCAGAGGAAACAGTTACAGCGTCCAGAAAGGCAATGGAGAAAATCATTCACAAAAGTACTCGGATCTTTTCGATAACCACGTCTACCTTCCGTCAAATGAAATAAAGGAGGATGGATATGTTGCACCACCGGTTCTCCCTTCCGAAATCCGACATCCCATTTTGTCAGTGAAGAATCGAATAGCACTACGTATGGACAGGATAAGACCAGAACACCTAAAGAACCTTCCACCAGCCCTCGTAAACACTCTGCTCGGCTCTTCACACGTTGTATCTCTGAATTCAAGGTCCCTACTCAGTGGAAGACCAGCAAGATCGTGTCATTGTTCAAGAAGGGTGAACTACACGATATCAGCACCCATCGCTCAATCTGCTCGCTGGCTGTCCTCTACAACCTTTTCACTAGAGCCATCCTAAACAGGATTGACAGAACACTAGACAAAGGAGAGCCATGTGAGCAAGCAGGGTTTTGAAAAGGATTTACTACGATGAACCACATCCACACGGTAGCAAGGCTTATTGAAGTATCGCGAGAGCACAAAAGACCGCTTTGTCTCACTTTCATCGATTTAAAGAAGTCCTTTGACTCAAATGGGATAGAAGCAGTCATGGAAGCCTTGGATGGTCAAGGAGTCCCTACTCAGTGCATAAAGATTCTTCATGAGCTGTACAAAAATTTGACAACCAAGATATATCACCATTCTACAACGATATTAACATGACGTCAAAAGAGGAGTTAGGCAAAGCGATTTATCTAGGTCGGGAAATCAATATGATCAACGACGTAGTTCCAGAGCTAAGCAGAAGAAAACGAGCGGCTTGGGGAGCTTTCAATAGCATCGAAGATGTATTGAAGAGAACAAAGAGCATTCGACTCCATGCCCACCTTTTCGACTCAACAGTACTTCCTGCCCTAATGTATGCGTCAGAAACCTGGCTGCTGCGTAAGCAGGATGAAAGATCGCTTAGCGTTATCGAACGCGCAGTCGAAAGGACGATTCTAGGAGTATCCTGCTTCACACAAGTAAGAGATGGAATCCATAGCTCCGATCTGCGTCAACGATCGAAATTCAAAGATGCCGTTCTGTACGCCAAACAGTCGAAGATAAGGTGGGCTGGACACGTAATGCGTATGAATGACAACCGATGGATATGAGTCGTTAGTGACTGGATTCCTCGGGATGTCAAACGCACTACAGGAAGACCACCGACCCGATGGTCAGAGTTCTTCATAAAGAGCCTTGAAGAAAGATATGATCCTCAACGGGTCTCTAGAGCGGGCAGAACCCATTGGGCTACTCTTGCACGCGACAGGGAAAAATGGAGGATTTATTGGGGCCCGCTCGAGTCACTCGACGATCAGCGGAACTACAGGTGATACAGGTGATTGTAGAGAAAACATGTCCTCAGACTATCATTATCGCACTTTTAGACAGTAGATAGCACTTCCCTGCGATTAAAAACGGATGACACTGAAAGCGCTATTGAATACGTCCCATTGATACTCTATCGATGCGACAGTATCCAAACACACAAACAATCAAGAGATAAGAAAGGCGGGAAATGAACCAAAAAATCGAAAAACGTAGCTTATGAATTAAACTACCTATTGATTATGAACTAGTTCATTCTCCGTGGTCAGAAGAGGTCCCATAGAGTTCAGGAGGTGGACTGTTACATTTGTCGAATTTGTTTTATAGCCTCTTATTTTGCATATGATGTTCCTCATTTGTTAAGTAGGCGCTGAGAGAGTCGTACTGTGCTGTAGTTAAACAAGCACATGTGAGCCCGATTTTTGTGAGACTATGAGCTCAGGGCTATGAGTATACCTAATGAAATGATGTTTTGGGGTGCTTTTGAGAAGAAGCAACTCATTCGATCGCAAAGTTAGCTTAGACGTTATTCCAGCACAAAATTTGTGTAGTTTTCATATACATCCCACGAAAACCGTGCACTCTTTCACGCCGTTTACAGATGAGCTCGTAAAGTTAGGCGGTGATGCGAGGTTTTCTCATTTGCATTGTGACCACATTATTTAGAATTTACGGATTACAGCAGACCTTCCACCCTTCTGTATTCTCATAGCGATAGCTATACGTATACGGGTCATTGAATCGAAATGGAAAGTGCTTTCAGGGATCTTTTTTCTTTGAATTTTTTTCTTGACCTTTGAAAGTTGTAGAATGAAAAAATGAGAGTGTAAAATGTTTTTAGGCAGATCTAAGTAGTAGATAGGTTTGTGATTTTGGATGATGTACCTGTAAGTCGAACTGAACGAGCACTTTGTGAGGCCGGAATTCGCATGCGAACCGCTCTTGGAGACTGTTGATCTGATACTCGTCCCTTGGATAGCCGTATAGGAACAGACGGTCGACCATCTGAAACTCGACCGAACCCTTTAGAACTCATTCCGCCTCTACCAAATACCTCAAAACAGTTTTCGTGTCTTATTTGTTTGGATCTAATAAGCAAGTAAACGTTTAAATAATAAACCTATAATAGTTTCCAGGATCGACTTTCTCTTAACCTCGGCATTGGAATATGAACGCGTCGCTTTCTTGTTCAGCAATCTCGAGGTTTTTAAACAGCATACATTTACTTCCATAGAGAAACACAATGGTATGAACCATATGCGACTATAATCAGCTGTTCTACACTTCCTCATTGGAGGTCACGAAAAAAGAGGCTCTGAAGAAGGCGATACTGCCGAAACGTCAGCTAGTGTTGTATGGTATTGTGTTTTTCTATGGAAGTAAATGTATGCTGTTTAAAAACCTCGCGATCGCTGAACAAGAAAACGACGCATAAACCTGTAAGTTAACAGAACCGCTAATTACGCCTAGAAATGAGAAAAGCCCAGCATTTAGGAAATGTATGTCGTCGTGTAAGCTTGCAAAAGGTGTAATTATATAAACGCATACAACGATAAAGCCACGGTCTTCAAAAAGTCACTGATCATCTCATCAACATCAAACGCATTTGAAATTTAGGCACCACTTCCTTATCTCAGGATAAAAGAAAATCGTTATTTCCACTTGTGACCACTTCAATGGCCTCAGTTTAGACAATATGGTAACGATATGTACAAAGAAGATCGCCATTGTCCATAGTCACCCGGGCTGAGGAAACCCGAATTTCTCTCGAGAAGACCAGTTAGGACCGAACTAATTCAAAAAATCGCCGACAACTTGGGTGAAATCTTGTTCTGGTTGAGGTGGTAAACCTCTCGCCGCACACCAGCTTACTGTGCTGACTAACTGGGTGACCTGTCATCCTTTTTAGAGACTCCGAAAAAAAGTAGTCAAGCCACCAACATTTCAGTTGAGTTCAAAGTGCTTTGAAGAAACACATGATTCGTCAAGATGGTCCATCCGAAAGTACGAACGGACTCAGTGTAACATAATAATATTTCTCACATTTGCTCTGCCAGAAAAACTAACGAAGAGAGGTCATGTATAGACAAAATCACTCCAGTTAGACAGTATTTACCTTTCAGTGATGATGTAGAGGTCCGTTTTGCAAATATCAGAGCTTCTTGTCATAAGCTCGCAAATAAACGTCTCATTTTAAGACTACTACTTCTATGAATGGAAGCTTAGAAGAATTTAGACGTGTTCATTCCATTACAAAGAAAAACGCAAACCAATCAATATTTCACTACGCAAGGAAAAACGCAAGTCGATCAATAATGAGTTTTGACAAATCATATAATCCTTCTTTCTAGATGTTAGATGATATAAAAATGGATGTTATCTCATTTCTTATACTTATTATACCTATCTGACGAGCCTCCCATGTCACTTTTTCTAGGTAGTCTAAAAAGAATTGTTATAAATATATAACACTAGGCATTTATCTAGCCTTCGATCTAGCCTATCACATCCCTCTTTAGCATCATATTCTAAGGCTAAATTACAATATTCTGCAATCTTGCGAAGGTCTATCGACACATGAAGAAAAAGGCCAGAAAAACGTGAACACAAAACTTCTATAGCAGATGACGACAACACTGGCGCTATCGAGCGCTTATCTTTTTTCGTTTTATAAATCTCGTCGATACTGAAGATGATTTTCGAAGATTTAGAAGTCCACAACTTTTCCATTATCTAATTAAAAAACCAAGAAAGCAAAATATGAAACGAATAGACTTGTGCCCCATTGATGAAGATATGAAAATTCCAAAGTCTTTGTTTCGACCAGTGAAATTCAATCCGCATGGTCTTTGGTCCAGTCATGACCTCCCTACTTTATCCTAGGTTTTCGTGGATCTGGTGATATCCACTCAACTAGTCGATTAGAAAAAAGTTTCATACTTTAACTTTCAGTTGGTCTTCACAACTCCCTTATAAATCTTCTTCAACTTTTAACTTCAAACTGACCACAGTAACATATCACTTTCGGAGGATTTGCAGATTTCTGACATAGAAAGCTTATCTGAAAGGATCCCCTCTCCTTAATTGTAAGTGGTGGATTTTTAGGCAGTTGTTCGTAAACTGTTTTGAAGAAGTTGGCAGAGGCTGGTCGAAAAACAGGTTGGATAAATACTCGTCCAATTTTGAGATTGGTGCTATCAGATGATTAAAGTGACTGCACTGCTTGAGACAAAATTCGCAGGAAATCTTTCGGGTTAGTCCAAAGTTTGCAAAAAACAAATCTGATAAGCCAAATTCCTCAATGAATGTTACTACTCCTTAAAATTTACATGTTCCAATAAAGAAAATATTTGCGAGTTACAGTATAAAATGTGTTGTAATCCACGAATTTAAAAATTCAGTAGCACTCATAATTTACCGCAGTACTTACGCATTTGGATGCCACGGCCTTCAATAACATAATTTTTTCAATCTTTCAAAAATATCTGTGCACTGAATTTGGTTGAAGTTAAAGTTTAACAAGAATAATTGGGTACGAATCGTTCTCACCGATGGAAATAAAGCAGCTCCCCATAGCACTGGATGAATGAGATAGAGTAGCTGGGCTACGCAGAACAGGAGAAGAGCGCCGACAATGCCCTAGAATAGTTGTGCCTCCTTTTCGAAGAACTTTCTTGTCTTTCTATATAAAAATGGTTACCCTGTATAACAGCTTCGCCAGATTTCCTTCGACCACATCACAGTGGACGAGAAGCAGAACTGGAGCAAGGAGCAAAGCCAGCACGAAATCCCACCAGAATAAGTTCCAAATGGTTGCATTTGTCTGAGATAAGAAATATAGAGATAAACGTAGTGGGAACAATACGAGAAGTACAAGAGGAATCCATAGGTTAACAAGTGCATAGTAACTGCTATAGGCACGTTATATAACGGCAGGCGTAGACCTAATGGTTTTTCTGCACTTTCCATTTCCTTCTTTTCCCAAGCAGGATTCTCTCTCATTAAGATGGTATCGAAGTTTACTATAAGGATGTAAGGATTTGTAATAACATTGTCTAAGTGACATGATACTGAGATATTTGCAAAACTCCGGACTGCAGGTGTCTGTGGTGTGAATCGAAATCACTATTACCCTTGCCGGAGGCTAACGCGTCAACCACCGCGCCATGCGGGTCGATAGCTCCCGCTTTCTCTCTGGCATATTTTAAATTGTAAAAGTTGTCAACAATTCACCCGCCAGCGTTGATCTGGGAAGCACAAACCGGCATTGAACCCGCTCAAGCTCGGGCAGTAGTTTAAATCACAATGCAGTCAGTTTTTTGTTTATTGCCTATTCTTTTCCACCGGAGGGCATGATGTGAAATGTAACTATATAACTAAATGTTTGTATTTGAATAAATATTATTAATATTAGCATAAATTTCGAATATTGATGTAGATTATGGAAAATGTGTCCAGATAAATATAACTAAATGTATAAGAACACCTCAACATCATTGTAGTTATATTTCATATCATACCTTGCCGTGGACGCGTGTGACGCAGCGGTCGGAAGCGTTCTGCGACACACGCGTGGAATGAACCCTACTCCCATGAACCACCAAGCTTTCCAATCCATCCGGGGTAGACAAATTGGTACCAAACTCGTCTGGGAGGACAGCAGCACTGGGTCGTAGGCCACCGCGAGTAATTGTAAAAGGCAGATATGCATTCAATCACCTCCAAATGATGCTTAATGAAGTCGAATGCATGGCACATCCTTCAGGGTTTGATCAACGCCGAGAGCTTTATCCTTTATCCTTTTATACCTGGCCATGAAAAAGAATAGGCAGTAAATAAAAAAGTGACTACATTGTATAAGCTTAGCAATAAACCATTGATTAGCCCAAGGTTAAATCAAAGTCAATACTGAAAGCACTTCGAAGCCTTCAAGAAATTCCTTTTGCAAGGGTAAAGTTGTAAAAATTTCTGAAAGTGTACTTCGACATCTTGTGACAGTCTATAGGAAAACGATGATTGAAAGAAAAGAAAACTCTCGCAAAAGAGAACCTCACGAATGAGTTTGGCATCGTACTCGAGTTCCTCCACAGTCATCCATCGCCTGCCATTTTGATCTATACTGCTCTCATTATTTGACGGGTAGTTCTCGTCCATTGCATGTTTAAGCTCCTAAAATTTAACAGTTGAAAAGATCACTAGGAAAAAAAAATAGCCTCGCACAAAAAAATAAGACAACAAGAAGGAGGAGTAGATTGAACAGAAACCCATGTACACCTAAAATGAAACTTGTGGTTTCACCGACAACGAGTAAGCATGGTATCACGGGTAGCAATATGTTAGTCACATCTTCATCTACTCTTCGATAATATCTGCATTAAATCAGCTTTTTTTCTTTCTTCTTTTAGATCTCAACAAATGTCGAAGAATTACGATTATATTGATAAAAAACATAAACACTAAAGCGTACTACTTTACCTTGGCAATCTGATGAGTTCGGTTGACGTAGATGACTAGCTCATCGTTCACACTCTTGTGCATTACTCCGTAAATGGCTAGAATGCACGCAATTGTGGTGAGACAGGAGAAAATGCATAATCCAAGCCGTTGGTCCAACTTTGACTTGTAGCGTTTTATGCTCTGAAACCAATCTAATAGAAATATCAACCTTACTCAAAGTTTTGAAACCCTCAAAACGAGTGCTGTTATATCATTGTCGATCCGCTGGTTGACTAAGCGCTGAAATAGTTATTCTGGAAATGTTCCATTTATTAAGGTTCTAATTGTTAGGAGGCAAACTTCTTTGCAACTGTAGTGAAGACTTAAGATCGCTTCTGTCCTGCTATAAAAGTAGTCGAGGGAAAAATAAACTCGAGCAACATCTGACGTATTGAAGTGAACAGAATACGCAAATAGATCTTCAAGCAGCGTCGGAACCAACAAATGAATACGACTGCATGCAGGAATAAGTGACGGGACGAGTGAAAGAAGCGATCGGAGCCACACCTCATCTGAGTGTGGAAAATATCCACTGGGTCTACGTATCTAAGCAGGTGTGGAAATACTTTAGTGTAGGTTTGAAGGAGAGTAGAAGTATTGAGCAAATTACGATAGCTTCATCACAAACTATTTAACTAACAATGAATTTGTATCGACCTCACCATTCTTTTGCGTTTCGTTCCGCTTTTGGAACCCTGGTCCACTCGTTATTTAGTCAATAACTTTTCGAAACTCTCGAATATAGATTTAAACTGCCGTCGCCGTTATACGCGTTTAGAGAAAATGAATCAGATTTCTATTGATATCGAACGTAACTCAAAGTTGGGAGAATGAAGACAGAGAAAAGATGAAGAAGGTCAGCGAAAGTGTTTGAAAGTGAGAAATAAAAAACCATCCGAAAGCTCCAGAAATTCTGCGATCATGAATGACAAACTTTTTTTAAACGAAATCTGAAAGCGCTGATGCGATAACCCTTCCTTCACATTGCTTTTTGCACCAATCTAAAATTGTAAGGCATTAGGAAGAGCTGCTTCGGTCGCAGAGCATAACTTTAACAGAGATCTAGCAGAAGTTAAAACCACAAGCAACTCGAAAAAAGATGAAATCGCTCAAATGTTAACTTTCAAGAGTCGAAGTACACGTTAACTACTTCGTATCAGCACAGAAAGAGAGAGTTCGGAAGATTGCCCAAGTTAGTCTTTTGAATTGTTTCGGTCGTAATACTTTCCAGAAGCGTAGAAAAAAAATTGTTTCTCCCCTTGTCCGTTTTTCATTAACTACGCTCTGGCCAATTCATGCTTGATCGCATAACACCAAAACCTGATCTCATTTTATAACATGAGACTGGTGTCACAAAGTAAGAGAGAGAGAGAGAGAGAGAGAGAGAGAGAGAGGGAGAGAGAGGAGAGAGAGGGAATGAGTTGGAACCAGTACTGAATGGTGATATACTGACCACTATGGATACAGTTTTGCCAACAGAAGTGCATGAGTTGCTGTAAGTGCTTTAAGATCCAAGAATAATTTTTACGAATCACTACAACAATAGGAAAGGTCGAAAAAGTCGTGAAAAAACGCAGGACGTACGATATAAAAAGTTGAAGATAAAGAGTTAGCCAACGTTGAACTTAAGGATTTTGCGGAAAAAAGCAGAAACGGTTTTTTATAAGGTGCACGTGGCAAGAATCAAGCAGACGAGAGAGGTAGAGTGGGGCAAATAAGAAAAGAGTGTTAAATCGATGGATGCGTTCTTGCTAGATTGTAGTTAAGAAGCAGAGAAGTTTTGTCATCGAAATTTTGAATACTATTGACGGACAGAGGGAGAAGAAACCGAAAGAAATGAGAAAAAAATGAAGGAGATAGCGAATGAGAGTAAGAAAGAAGAGAGGTAGGAAGGCAAAATTGCCAACTGAGCTGTTCGATAAATTGTTGGCGCGTTAAAACTAGCAGGACAAATAGAGGCAAAACTTGTTCAAGGTTTGTGGAAGTGAAAACAACCGCGGACGACGAGTTTCCATAACTCACCTTCCATAACTCACTTTGTATTCCATTTGCTGTTGTAGACCTGTTTTATTCGAAAACCTCAGTAGTGTTTCGTTTACGCTGCAGCACACCGTCGAGTAAACAGACGTTATAAAAAATGATTTGAGCATAGCTCGCTTTCTCCGTTGACTTCACTTTCAAACCCCCTCTGTCAGAAATGTTTAAGTTGATCATGCGTTGATTTTTCAGGTAACTAAGAGGGATACGATGAGTGCTTTGCCTGCGTCCCAAGTATTCATTGGACTTTTCATGAATATAAACTTCCACGGTTCTAGACGACATTTCATTTTGTTTCCACTTCATTTACGTTAAAAATGCTTTATTATTCATTTGAACTGGTTTTAGCGGGGACGTGGTGCCATGCAATATACACCGGTCCGGTCGATGGTTCAAGGCAGCGCTCGTGCCAAAGCAAGCCCGCAGTCTCGCCGGCGTCATTGCATGGGACAGCTATGCACATGCATTCAATCACCTCTACAAGACTTGATGAAGTAGAATTCGCTCTGGGAATGGTCAACGCCGAACGCGTTATTCTTTGTTTGGTCCTCATTGTCTTATCATTCTTAAGATTCCTTTTAGGACGACAAAGGTATTGAACATGGGATTTTGTTGCACTGACGTTGAAAACCGCTGGAGTGCGCCGTGTGATCATATTTTCCCCATCGCATAAACGACCTAATAAAAAACTGCTTATAGAATCGGTGTAAATATAATGGTTGGACTACCTAGGTGCCCTCAGCCAGTTGTGGTGTTTCTTTCGTGATAGTCTATCCATAATACCTTCGTCTAGTAACAGATAAATAATAGACAGAAATTTACGCATTCTTACCGGTTTTGAGCTTACATACACTTTTTGGAGACCACCACCTCGGAGGTTTCCACTACCTTTGTGACTGTCTCGCATGGAACGTGGAGATTCCGAACCAGGAGATCCCATCCTACAAATAATTTATTATAAGAAAAAGAAAATTTTTGTTTGAAAACCACAACTACAGAGGAATTTTAAATTAAGACAAATCGAACAATGAATTACGTATCGTAAACGCTCCGAAAATTGCAAACTGAAAAGGGATTGGTTGAGAAAACTCTGTGCTTCATCGATCGAATTCTTTAGTGGATCGGATTTATAACAGAAGCACTAGTAGGCAAGGGCATGAAGGTCAGCGTACAAATTAACCGGATTCTGGGTTTAGGCATGGATCAATGAATGAGGGTTGATCATTACATAAGGATGAAAAACTAGATCTATGTGTAAATGCCATAGAAAAGTGAAAGCCCACAGAAAAATGACAACCATTCATTCTCCACTAGAATAATGAAGAATTTGAGCACTTATGGGACAAAACATAGGAAGTGAACTGACATTATCCCTACTATCTTGTCTTTGCTCCTCGTTGACGATGGACTATCGGATCCGTTCCCGTTCATCGTAGGTCAGGTTCCTAAAACCCATAGGTTAACACTCGAAAATCGAACTCAGAGGAAATTAGAGGACGAAATTTGAAAAATAAGTACATGTGACATTTACAGCGACTTCGAAAGACTGTGTGCTATCCTTGTGTAAAATGGTACCAAACCATTTTAAAATTTTGCGAGGCTCTTCCTACAGAACTCAAAAAAATTCAATCCATTCGAACATTCGAAAACACCTTTACACCACAGATAAAAAGCAGTTTTGTTAAAGCTCCTGAAGAAAAGTTTAACAAAAAAAGAGCAAACAATATGAAAAATTCCAGTTAGAACACTATCAACTTCATTATCACTGTTTTCTTTTTCTTTTTAAAAAGAGGAAAGCATTATTCATCAGGTAGGAAGTCATAGGAGTAAATCATTGAGGTAAGTGGGGGCAAAACATTACGAAAACTGCAGGTTTCTGGACACTGTAACCCGACCTGTTTTCTAGTTTGGAGTGTTTACGGTCTCGAAATGGTTCCTATACACATATTAACGAATCCGGATTGTCATGAACTTGCAATGCGGCACAGATGGTACTTCTGATATTGCTTAGATTTTCGTCTTGGATCACGAAAAATTGTCGTTCTTTCCCGTCTCTTGTCGTTTATGAAAAAGCGTTCGACAACGTTAAAACGAACACCATCATGCCAACGTTCGGTGACCGATTAATGGAACCGTCGTAAACAAAAACTATAGGTGATTGCGATCGAGACTGCCCTATAACGTAATGCTCTTCTATCATTCTTTCACCCTTACTATATAGAGCGGATTTCGTAGACTGTGAAACCAAAGCGGCTACAGATTAAGGGTTTCCTTTATCAAACAATCACTTTGCCGATTAGATTGTCATTGTTTCGGGGAATCCTATACCAGTGAAGCAAACCTCAACGGACCTAGCAAAGAAAAAACATAACGCGTTAGAACTCATTTTACAAAAAGTATGGCGCGATAAAGAGTGAACGGACGCGAATAGTTCTCGATTACTGAAACCACTTCTTATTAACCTTTAGATGAACGATTCTATAGGGGTGTCGAGGCATTTCTCTTTAACGCGTTATGTGGCCACTGCAATTCGTCAATTTATTGTAGAAGGTTGTTCAGTTATGTTCAAAAAAATTGTATCGTTGGTTGAAATACTGCTGGATAGTGGTGAACTTTAAGAAGAGGGCTACATTGCTGCTTATAATCCGCTATATTTTCAATCTGTTTCCTGTTCTAACCTTTGCACAGTCTTCAGAGCCAAAACGTCTCCGAAGGAGCAGAAAGGCAATAGCAGGAACTATATCAACTAGCAAACAAGTAGAAAATTCAAATCCTTATGACCTAGCCATTTCTAGAGCGTTAACTGAGAGCGATGAATAGAAAGAAAGGAAGGTGGAAAGAAGATGGAACTCAAAGGCCTCAGAGAAGGGGATCGGTTCCCGATTTGGTCTATTAGAAAGAACAGCTGACCAATCAATGGATTTTTACTTCCGCGCTCACATGTTCGATCAAATAGCCCTTCCAGTGCTGTTCTCTATGGATTAGATGTGGCCGACTTAACCAAATAATTCACGCAAAGCGCTTGTAAATGGCCATATCGACATAAACATTTCTTCTCTTGAACGAAATGTTATACATAGCTAACTCTCCAACGTCAAGTATATCCAAACGCCTAAGATTTCCATCTCATTCTGTATCATTTCTGTGGCACTTCCTTCAAATGGTTACTGGAAGCAAAAAATGGACATTAAATCTCACATATTTCTCGGCGTTCGTATTTCATAACTAAATTTTCAGGACATTCTCCTGAGGACAAATTGACAAATTGACAAATTGACAAATGGCCCATTTGTAGTACAATACGCCCCACAGCATCTTAACATCCTTAGATAGACTACTCTTTCTTTTGTATTTGTAAAGCCAGCGTTCCTGCATGAATTATTAGTGTCCATGCTACATGAAAGACAGAAACGCAACGACGACATTGAAGGGCAGGGTCATTCGACCATGACTGAAGTACAGAACGACTATTCCGCTCAAAATATCATCGAAAATATGTTTAGGTCATTTCGTGGGTGGATTTCTATACTTTTAAAGTTTAGTTTCACCCGAGAAGATGTACCTGGCAGCGCAGCACTATCTAAGCAGGTGTTTTTGATAAAGGCAATGAAATTATTGTACATTTCATTCTTTGGCTCTAGTCTTTCCTTTAGTGAAACTTTGACGTTAGTTGGCTTAATGGTTTAAATGAAGCTGAAAAAAGCTGGAAAATTTTATGTTTACTAAAAGTTAGTGGACCACTTTGCAGGAATTCTATCCAGATTTCAAACGGCTCATAAGTGTGCTATCTGCTGATGCGTTGTAAAAGACATTCCAGATGGTTTTTTCCTCCTCTCAAAAGTACGAAAGGGCAAGTGTACGCAAAAAGCACGAAAAACATAGGGAGACCGCGAACTGATCATCCTCTCCGAGTTATTGCTGAACAACTGTTGCGCGTTCGCTACTGTAAGGTGATGGAACTATGAATGAATTCATGGTTTTTGAACTTCCTGCTTATCTAAGAGTGATGCCAGCCTATAAGCGTGCGCCTTTAGGCGTTTACCTATGCCAAATGGGCCTAGCAGTGGCAGTTACTGCTTTTATAAAGGAGTTAGCTGAGAATTCTAATCGAATGTACATAGTCAAATGCAATTCCTCCTAGCTTCTGTGATGAAGAAAGCTTGCTATTTGCATCGAAGATGGAAATAACTAGCTTGAGATGGTGAGACTCAACACCATATCGAGATCACAGACGACTGTGTGCCCTCTAGTGGGATCGCCGGGTCTGAGGAAGAGGAAGACGTCGAGGCGTTTGCCAAATAAGCGTTTCCATTGATCTCGTGTTAGCTTAATAAATCGCGAAGGCATTAATTCGAGGTACCTTTTAAAAAAACAATATGCGTGAAGTCTAGTTTGATATTACAAACCTTACATTGCAGTTGGAGAGTTCTACAAAGAAATTTTTAGGTATAATAAATACTGCAACCCCAACAGTTTACCGCCTCATCGCAGCTGGGAGGTGTTCCTGGGTATCGGGCTGCGATGTACAGCGGAAGGATTCATCCCTCAGCAGGATCTCTTAAGCCGAAAAAGAGTCCAGCGTTTCCATCAGGAAGCCCAGTTAAGAATTAACCAATACCAGGATTCACCACTATCCTGGTATGAAATCAGTTACATGGTGGCAAATTTCTCTTTGATCTACAATGGCGGCCATCGCCTATAGTGGTAAGGACCTGTTGCAGACTTTGGCCAGGTTAATCTCGGGACTCTAGAAAACCGTAATGGCTAGACCAGCAAAACTCCGGAAAAATAGAAATTATGTTAGGGCCCTCACGAGTAAGTAATAAATACTGCAAAGCAAGGTTATTTAAGCTTCCAAATGAGATATCGCTAAAGGGGTTTTGGCCGACTTGCATAAATCGAACCGCTTCTATTAGAATCAAGCGTGATGGGAAATTTCCAACATTGAATATATCTTGTCAATGAAACTCAGATACTTCATTGTTCATTTAAAGCGTGGTACGACGATGTGATCTTTCGGGCCATTTTTCCCACGAGCGTGATATGAAGGAGTGATAGAAAACGTGTACTGTCGTAATTCATTATCGATAGCCTAGTTTTTATTGGTATAGTTAGAAGCACATCTTTTTGATTTAAACAAATAATTTCGATAAATAGACTGTGACTGCAAAATTTAAACTGCTTTCAATGTTTCGAAGGTACAAAATACTGAATATATCACGCTCAGTAGACATGAAGAGCGGTGCATTATGAGAAAATACTACAAGTCCGATAAGAAAGAAAGGAGTCAAATATGAACATATGGCGATCACGGACTTTGGAGTTGGGTTGATTTCGAAGACGGCTACGCCCTAGAAAGCAGCAGTGGCGTGGGAGAGCGAGTAGCTTCGACGACGGTCTCCGCAATTGGAAGGGTGTAAACTCGTCTAGATGTTCGAATTGCGGTGTAATGCAGAAGTGAATCGATCACCGTTTGCGCAACCGATAACACAGTCGTAACTGATGGTGAAAACGACGGCTACTGGAAGCAGCTTCATAGCCCCAGTTGTGGTAAATATCAGTGAACACACGGTGGGATTTAGTCTGTTTTATAGATGGATGCTGATGATGGCGCACAATTTAGCTTCCATCCGGACGGAGCAGGTTTCTCTCGAAACGCTTGTTACATGCACAAACAATACTGCCATCTTGTTCGTGTATGTGACTCATCACTTTTTCTAGAGCATCATCATTTGCAAAATATGCGAGGTGATTACGTAGAAGTAACGAGAAACTACGAAAGAAAATAAAGTGAAGAAAGTGTAATACAGTGAGAACTCAATGCCACTTATAAGATGCTAAGAGTTTTTTATTGGTTTTAACCTGTAACGGCTATTTAAGTGGATGTCTTGAATATTAGTTATAGACGAACAGCAACAGCGCGCACAGGGTTAAAGGTAC